CATTCTTGTCTGGTTCCTGTTAACAGAGGGAAGGCTTTCAGTTTCTTTCCATTGAGAGTAATGTAGGCTCTGAGAGTAATGTTGGTTTTGTATATATGATCTAAATTATGTTGAGGAATTTCCCTTCAATTCCTACTTTGTTGAGTGTTTTCATCAGAAATGGATGTTGGATGTCGTCAAATGCCTTTTGTGCCTTAATCGATATGATCATGCCTTTCTTTTCTTTTTTCTTATTTATTTGGTAGATTATGTTGATCATGTTTCTAATGTTGAACCATCCTTGCATCCCTTTTATGAATCCCACTTGGTCATGATGTATTATTTTTTTTTTTGATGTGCTGTTGGATTCTGTTGGCTAGGATTTTGTTGAGAATTTTTGCATCTATGTTCATGAGGGATATAATTTTGGTATGAGGGTTATGCTTGCTTCATAAAAAGTATTAGGAAGTTTTCTATCTTCTTCTATGTTCTGGAGCAATTTGAGTAGAATGTTGACAGCTCTTCTATGAATGTTTGGTAGAACTGACCAGGAAGCTATCAGGACCTGATGACCTGATCAATTTCTTCTATTGTTATGGCTGTGTTCAAGTCTTCTACAACACTCTGTGTGAATATAGAAAGTTTGTGTTTTTCTAAAAATGTATCCATCTCTTCTAAGTTGTCAAATTTGTTGGAGTACAACTCTTCATAGTATTCTGTTATTATCTTTTTGATTTCTTTGGTTCCATTGTGGCATCGCCCTTGTGGTTTCTAATGCATGTTATTTGTGTCTTCTCCCTCTTTTCTTTTGTTAGGTTTGCCAATGGTTTATAAATTTTATTAATCCTTTCAAAGAACCAACTTCTTTTCTTGTGATTCTTTCTATAGTTTTTCTGTTTTCTATCTTTTTTATTACTGCTCTGCTCTTTATTATTTCTTTTCTTTTGGTAACTGTAGGTTCCCTCTGTTGGTCTGTTTCTAGTTGCTGGAGAAGCTGTGTTAATTTTGATTCTTTCTTCTTTTTTTATGTGCACATTTATCGCAATAAATTGTCCTCTCAACACTGCTTTCGCTGTGTCCCAAAGATTTTGGTATGCTGTGTTTTCGTTCTCATCTCTTTATAGGAACTTTGTGTGTCCACATTTAATTTATTCTACTACCCAGTCGTTTTTCATCAGGGTGTTATTCAGTTTCCATGTATTTGACTTTATTTCCTTGGTCTTCTTATTGTTCATTTCTAGTTTTATAGCATTGTGGCCTGAAAACATGCTTTGTTGTATCTTGATGTTTGTAAATTTACGCAGGCTTGCTTTGTGACCTAATACATGGTCAATTATGGAGAATGTTCTTGTGCACTAGAAAAGAATGTGCATTTTGCTGTTGTTTACTTTTAGTCTGTTTTTGTCTTTGTGTGTAAGGTGTGTCTCTTGCAGGCAGCATATTGAAGGATCTTGTTTTCTTATCCATTCTGCCACTCTCTGTCTCTTCACTGGTGCATTTAATCCATTGTCATTCAATGTAATTATTGATATGTGTGAATTAATTGCTGTCATTATGTTAATTTTTTGGTGCTGTTCATTCCTTTGTTCTACATGCCTTTTTGTGCTGAGTTCATGTTTTTGTGCTATTTCTTGTAAGTTTCTTCAT